CAAAGATAATATATTTTTACAACAATTAAAAAATATTTGTCTAGAAAACATTTTCATTTAAAAAGTAATTATTTCAAAGTCAAGAAAAAATCAATAAAATAGTTTGTTAGAATTTATACAAATATCTAAAATAATGAGCATCCAAAAATAATTACGAGTATCCAAATAATATTCGAAATTCGTAGTTTTGGATTTACGAATATGGAGTTAGAATTACGGTTAGGAACCCTACCACAATATTAGTTTTAATTGAACGTTTGGAATTCTGTTTATGAAGCTGGACAGTGTTAAAAAATGTTGTTTCTTCGATCCCAACCACAAACTTCTTTGAGAATCAAACAATGTCATTATTAATAAAGTAACTATGTTAATATTTCAAAAAATGCCAAACTCAAGGAACTTGGATGTCGTGACTCATTAAAAACCTTTCTACCGACAAATCTTGAGTTGTCAAGTGTCGGACGGCGATAGCTTTCATAAAATCGATTGGCCTCAGAAAGTATTAGTTCTGACAATAGCAGTTGTTGGAGATAGTTATTTTAAAGGCATGCAAAAAAGTACTCGTCAATGTGAAGCATCTTGCCTGATTTAAAAATGGAAATAACATAGTAGAGAGATATATAAGAAAAACCCCCTATTACTATGAAAACTTTAATTTCTCATCATTAATATATTAAGCTTGGCAATAATTTTATTGTACAGAAAAATTCGTGCAACAAATAACATTTTTAATTTATAATTGTAATTCCACTTTTGTTAAGATGTTTGTGGGGGAATGTTTTTGGTTATTAATTTATTCTATTTTTTTTTTTTTTTTTTGAATACAAAAAATAAACAAATGCTTTGATTTATTATCGATTTTTTTAACAATAAATCATTTATTTTCCAGACATTCAAGATTTGATTTTGAAATAGCATGCAAATAAAAAAAGATAAAAAAGAAAGAATGTTTTATAATTTAATAAAAATATTTTTTTTTTAGTATATAATCACAAAATGCGCGCATTTTATGCAAACACGAATCCGCCAACATCAGGGAATTTCAAATATATTAAAACAAAAATTATTATTTTATGTGGTGTTATTTCATTATGACTCATTTTCAACAAAGCAGTAAGCCCCTTCAATATGGAAGTTCACATAGTCATAAATGAACACACTTATGTCATGATGTATGCTAAAAGAGTATAGTGGATGACAGTAAAAACCATCAACTATTATTGGCTTATCAAAAATGGTATCTGCTCCTCAGGGGTGATCATTTTTAAAAAAATAAATGCACCAGGGAATAATTTGTTGCAGTCAGATTTTTATTTAAACTTACTAACAAATGTTATAAGGGTTTGAAACTTCACTATTTTTGTAACATTTCATATATAATTTTCAAAATTTGCCACCTGTTATAGTATAGTAAAATAAATTCTCTTTATTTCATTGGTCGAAAAGAATTTCACATGATATTTTCACACATAATCCATTTATATCACAATATTTTTCTTAAATACTATTGGCTAAAGCTTTTGGTCTGCTTGTATATAGTATCACAATTATTTTCTTGAAATTTATTGGCTAAAATTTGCACATGTGATAAATTTTAAAAATTTAATTGACAATCCGTCTATGAATGAGTGAAATGTCGATTTTTTTACTATTAAAAAACGGAGGAAATATCTTATAGAATGATCTTCAAAAATATATTCCACATCCCCATCATGTGATAAAATTTAATGAAAGAAAATGAAAAAAAACTTTTAGATTTCGTTTTTGAAAAGATTTAAGTACTTGTAGTGTCATTTTACTTTTTTTAAAGTTTTGGAATTTTGAAATTTTGGAGTTTAAAAACAGTTTTGGAATTTTCGGAGTTTCAAAATAAATCGAAAACAATTATCAGAGTTTCAAACAAGTCTATTTTTATTATATAAATAATCGTCAAAATTTGAACATACACTAATTAACACCTTGAATCGCTTCATGACTCCGTCCAGTAATCTTTTCCATGTGGATGATTTCAATCTATTTGAGGTGTACCACTATAAACACACCATTTTTCGCTTTGGGGCACTGTTGTGGTTGTATTATTCCTTCTCACCAACAAATTAAATCATGGCTATCTAGATTTAATCAACATCACAAAAAACAAGTACATTTTTTTAATAAGTTACACAAACATAAAAAACTTTTTTATATATGAAAAATCTCACTCATCTCTACATCCCCAAAAGTAAACCCATTTTTTTTTTCGATATTCTTGAAAAAAAACACATAAATATGTTCTTTGACATTTTTTTCATAACTTAAAATCAAAAAATACTATTTTATAATACTAAAGTATAGTACCATTTTTTTATACAAAGTCGTCAATTGGTGAAATTTATGACATTTTTCCTCCACCGATCCCTATGTAGAGTTCACTCATTCATAGACGGATCGTCAATTAAAATTTGCCATACCCCTTTGTATCACTTGATGGTTTTTGCTGTTGTCCACTGTAGTTTTTATTTAGAAAAATTTATAGAACATAGTAATAACAACATAGAAAATCAATCAGCATAGATGATTTTACATACAAAATATTAACCCAAAACCTTCTAAATGGAAACTACCTCTATAGCTTTCTCTAAATTTTTATTAAATAAAAAATTTTTTTTTGGATTTCCATGTTTTTCTATTGATTTGCATAAATTTTAGTCTGATATAAATTTTGTATGTTACATAACAATTTAACAAACACAGTCAATCATTTCTTTTAATTAGTAAATGTGTCAATTAAATTCCCTGGTTGATAAATGATCTGCAAATTAAAGAAAGGGTTGAACCGGCTAAATTTCCAACACTGTTTTAGGATAGTTATTTGACTTTGTGGCATATCTATACAAAATTTTAGTTTAGAAATAATCTAATTGTCATAAAAATCATCAATATTAATAATCAACAATATTTTTTTGAATATAAATAAGGAATAGCATAAAATATATTTGAACTTTGTAAATAGGTAAATTATTAAATAAAAAATACAAGAATACTGATATCAATCTTTCTTATACTAATAATATTAACTTTTCTTTTCTAGACGTTGTTTTAATTCTTTAATCATTTCACTGCGTCTAATTGGAACACCACCTCCAACACCTTGTTCTTTTGATCTCATATCTTTAATCTTAACTTCACCATTATTTATTTCATCAGGTCCAATAATCACTGCAAATGGAATTTGATCACGATCACATATTGTAAATTGAGACTGTAATTTTGGCTTATTCTTATACATATATTCTGCCTATTAATTATTTATTAATCATTTTCATTAATTATTTTTATTTAAAGGTAGTATACTGATGATGATGATGATGATTTTACCTTGATACCAGCATCCCATAACTCTATGCATATTTTCATCCTTTCCTCCAATAATCCACCAGTTGCTGCAATCACATACACCTCAACTTCATTTGCTTTAACTTGATCAAGTTGAATTTTTTGTAATAGTATTGAAAAAATTCTTTCTACTCCAAGAGACATGCCTACACATGGAATATTTCCTTTTTTATTGCTGGAAAACATACCAACAAGGTTGTCATACCTACCACCTGCTGCGATTGATCCAACTCCAATAGTTGATTCATCAAGTTCTTCAGAACCTTTTTTAGTTTTACATGCAACTATTGTATTATCCTTCAATCCTAAATAAATAATTATAATTGTTTGTAATAAATAAATTTGAAAGATTTTTTTTTTAAAAAAAAAGATTACAATTCATATCTTACGAGGAGGTCCTGATTGTTCTGTAATAGCTTCATAAATAATGCCAGTATAATAATCCAAACCTCTAGCAAGACTAAGATCAAATGAAACCTTTAGAGAATAAAACAGAATTAGTAATTAATTAAAAATAAAAATACTTGAATTGATTAAAGAAAAAATAGTAACCCTGTCTAAAACATTAAATATTTCTAAATATTTAAAAAGTAAAATCATATCATCTAACCCAGATTTTGTATTTTTATTTGAAATCAATACTTCA